ACCTCAGACTGAAGAAGCCTTTCGGATGAAAGACGAAACGTTTCTACTTTTTTTTTTTGTTTGTTTTGGTTTTTTGAATGTCCAGAGGACCAGACTTAACTTTTTAGATGTAAATACTGTAAATAGTTATTCATGAAAAATACATAAATGTGCCAATTTATTTAATTTGAAATTACATAATTTGATCAAATATCTATAATCCACTATCAATTTATAGTGTACAGTTATAAAATGTTAACAAATAGTTACATGTTTTTTGTTACTAGATATTGTAAATTGCACTTGTTTTCCTTGAATTCAACTGAATCAATCCACAAATAAAAAAAACAGTACAGTATGCTGCTCAAGTGAGTTTTAATTGAAGAATGTTTAAAATAATTCAAAACATTAAACTATCTACCGGTAACTACGTAACACTAGAACAATTTACATACATGTGACAAGCTTGGGTATGGATGTTATTTTTATTTTATAAACTTACTGCAACACCACCTTAGGACTTTCACCCAAGGACATCATTTATACACAGAAAAGACACTTGGGTTTGTTTACAAGTAAACACTGGAACAGAACCTACACGAGACTCAACTCTCACCTTCAACCTGGAATATAAATATGAAATGAACAAAAATAAATATGAATAATACTTAAGAATTGCAAAACAAACAAACATGGTCCTCACATTCACATACAAAAATCCAAAAGCCAGTCAATCTTCTCTCAGGTAAGACACTGCCTAATTATGGTGACTCAAGCAGGCTGTGAGAGCGTAGTAAAGCATGGTAGGACAGATACGGTGGTTTTATTGCCCCACAAGAACAACCAGGAACTGAACAAAAACAACAGCGCAGAGACTGAGCCATTTTCCTCACTGTCTAACGCTAACACTAGAGCCACAGGAAGTTGTGGCATTTTCTAACAATGTTGTCCAGAACAGCTAGCGCCATTGCAGCCACCCAAAATTCGTCAGGCAGCTGTTTGAACAGCTAAGTAGCAGCCGCGGGTCCTACGCGTCATTTCTTAATTCAAGATATCTAAAAGTGTCATTCTGACTAGTCATAATCAGAGCCCTGTAAAGAGAGAGTTGCGACACTCTTTGAACTCGCCGATACGCGGTCACGTGGTTCATGCAGCTCCCCATAGTTCCAAACAGCTCATCGCTGTCAGTCAGTTTGAGCGGCTGCTGGCACAACATAACACAAAAATCGACTTTTCTTACTTTACCTGACGTCTTTCAGTAATTATTGAGCAGTAACGAACTGATTACTTAACTGATTACTGATTATTTCACAGACTATGCATTTTATCCAAGCATTTTTAGAAGCAGCTGATACATTTATCATTAAATTTTAGAAGGAAACGAGACTGCAAACACATATTTGTTAGAAAAATAATGTATATGCAATACAGTGATCAATATAGCCATATCAGTGTTTTATAACATTACACACGTTAAAAAAAAAGATCAGAGTAACACCTGTTATGAAGCTATTTCTGATGTTCTCTGCAGGATAATGCTCCACCTTGTCCTCCAGCAGTTCAGATCTGCTCCAGCTTACCTCAGATCATCTGGATGAATTCTTGATTTCTATAGAAGATATTAATTCAACCTTTATTTAAACAGGTTCGTCCCATTGAGCCACGAGGACTCATTTACAAGAGAGACTGAATATAATTGTTGTATTTGTCGTTTTTTATGGCAACCAAGTACCTGATAACTGAGTTGATTGTAGCCTGACAACTATTGTAAAACTGTAATTCATTGATTAAAATGTTAATTTAAATGAAACTGTTTCTAGTTAAAATCGTAACAGATGACAAAATAAGTGTTAACTGTGCAAAAATAAATTTCCAAACAATTTATTATAAAATATGTAAAATGTAAAGCAAGCTTTAATAAAGTACTTTTACTGCCATTTATACTGTTTATTAATTACATCATCTGAAGTCAGCAGCAGCACCATCATCATCATCATCACAACAACACAAAGTGAGAGCTGTAAATTTAATCTGCACAAACATTTTCAATCAGGGCTCAAAATGTTTAACTGTCAAAGAAATGTGCAAGAAATAAACTAATGTCACTCTACAGGCACATTTAGAGAGAGGACAGTTTACAGAGACACAGTCAGGACGTGTGAGACTGAAGGAGGTTCAACCATTTGTTCATGGACCAGAACCAGATGAGAAGAACAGCAGAACTTCCACTGACCAGTGATCTGACCAGTGACCTGACCAGTGATCTGACCAGTGATCTGACCAGTGATCACACATGTTGTTCTAAATTAAACTTTGGTACGAACAGAGTTACAATAAGACATGTCATATTTTTATTGGACAATAATCTTCATTCATTCTAACAGCGACGTTGTAATTTCAGAGACTGAGGAAGAAACAGAAATGAGGTGAGTGAGATGAGGGAAAGATGAAAATGTGTCCTCAGAGGACGGGGACATGTCAGGATCTGATGATCCAGGATCAACAGGGCCAGGATGGATCAACAGGACCAGGAGGATGGATCAACAGGACCAGGAGGATGAATCAACAGGACCAGGAGGATGAATCAACAGGACCAGGATGGATCAACAGGACCAGGAGGATGGATCAAC